TAGATAAGCATTTTAGATATGCCTACTGTGCTACCACTCATAGCAGACAGGGGACATCAATCAGTGATAATATGACCATTCACGAATGGAACAAAGATTATTTAGTTTGTAGGGAATGGTTGTGGACGAGTATCACACGAGCGAGGGATTTTAACAATGTCTATTTTTACAAGAACAAAGAGGGAGATGAAGATATGTTTAAGAGTTTGGTAATCAACTATTTTAAAACAAAGTTGAAGGATATAAACAGCAAGATAGAGTAGCAAAAAGAGAAATAGACGAAGAGCAATACATTGACGAAAACTGGTGCTTAAAATACTTCAAATCCTGTTGCCAAAACTGCGGAATTAAATTTAATCTAGATACAAGAGGGGGAAAAATAAGTTCTAACTTCACTGCTCAACGTTGTGATAATGAGTTATGCCACACAATTGAAAACTGCACCGCCTTTTGTGTCTATTGCAATTGCAGCGCGTCATGAATAATTTTGAAAATGAGTTTTTCAAAATTATTTTATTAACTTAATTAATGAGTTCAACACAAGAAGTTATTAAGAGTGTATATTATGATAGAAGCGGTTATGGTTCAAAACAAACAACCCTCAAGGATGCTAAGCAAAAAGACAGTAGTATTACAATAAACGATATTAATGAATTCTTTAGTAAGAATGTAGAAGAAAAAAGAAAGATGAGAGGTGAAAATAGTTTTATTGCTCCGCATAGTTTCTGGGAATTTCAAGTTGATATGTTTTTCATTTCTAAAAATGATTTGGAAAATCAAACATTTAGAATTGGAATGATATGCATTGATATTTTTAGCAATTATATGCATATCGTGCCAATTAAATCCAAGACACCGCCAGACATTTTAGCAGGAATGATGGAGAATATCAATAAGATGGGTGGCAAACCGAAATTAATTTATACCGACGAGGAAGGCAGTTTTTAATCAATCAGTATTAGATTATTTGAAGGAGGAGAAAATTGAATTACATAGAACTAGAGGTCATCCAGCATTTGCGGAGCGTGGAATTCAGACTTTTAAAGATCAACTGTTTAAACGAGTTGAAGCGGACAAGAAAAATGCAAAGCAGAATATCCAATGGACGGATTATATTTTTGAAATATTATTAACTTACAATAATAAGATGGTGCATTCTGCCACCCGCTTTGTTCCTGCACAGGCAAGATTAAAAAAGAATGAATTTGAGGTAAGAATGAATATTACAATGCAAGCAAGAAATACTAGAAAATACCCTGAGTTGTCAGTGGGAAGTAATGTAAAAATAATGAGGAAGAAAGGCATAAGCGAAAAGGCACATACCAGTCATTGGTTAAAAGAAGTATTTAAAGTAAAATCAATTGACAATAAATTAGGGCAATCTTACTTTCATTTGGAAGGAAAAACTATTCCTTATTTGAGACACGAATTATTAAAAGTTTAATATTAAACGAAATACAGTTAAAGAAAAAACGCCTTATAATATTAGTGAAATGTTGTTTAACTATAACAAGTGCGAATGCTGTAAATGCAAAATGAATGATTTGAGTTTAACCTTGCATCATATACTACCAGCAAATGTATGTAATAAAATAAGTGAATATAATGTATACTGCAATCAATGCTGTATAACAAGAGACCTTGAAAGATTTTTTGTTGAAGAACATAAGGATAAGGGATATACAAAGTTTCAATTACAGCTAAAATTCTTTATGCGACACCAAGCAAGATTTCCTATACACTTTTACCAGAAGATTTCCAGAAAGTCATATGAAAATGATATTGATGAATTCTTTAGTAATATAGATTTAATTAGGAGGTTTGGAGGAATAAACGCAATTAAACCATACAAAGCATTTGTCAAAAAATACCGTTATTTGTTTGAATGGATTGACTGGCACTTATTAGACAAAGATAAAATAAGCGAAGTCTTGAACGAATTTAGAGCAACTAAATATAGTATATGGTATTACTACAACACTAAATATAAAGTATGTCTATTGTTGTATTTATTCTTTTGGGAATATATTTATTCAATAATAGGAAAAGACAATATCAAATATATATACATTGGTGATATAGATAAATATGTAGATTACATATTTGAAGACATATTGCCTGACCATTATTTTAACCCATAAACCTTACAATAAAAACATTGTAAGATTTATGTTTTCAAAATGACTTGAAGAAATAATAACTTAATATATTATAGTGAAATGAGTGATACAGTCGGTATCAATGCTAAAAATATATTGAAAAACAAGTTTATGAGTTATAAATGTAAAGACTGTGAAATGCTCAAATTACCAATTGAACGGGGTTTTGCAAATGGTGTTTGTAATAATATTTGTCAATATATAATATGCAATAATTGCAATAGAATTATAAAAAAAAATTGATGATATGAATAACAAGGATATTGATATTATAAATAATGAAACTATTGATGATGATTTAGAAATATTTGTATTTATTGAAATGAATAATTTCTTAACTATAGAAGGATTTGATAATGTATTAGAATGTAACGACGAAGGATATAATAATGATTTTGTTTTTAAGTATTATAGTATTGTAAAACAATTATACAATATGTCTTTTAATATTAAACGTTTAAAATATGTTGTATTGTTTGATTTTTTAAATGAGTTTTTAAATGATGAGTATAAAACTCACGAACTTAGATATACAATAAAACGTGCGATTGGAATAATGGGAATGTTTAGAAAACAAATAAAAAATAATTTTTATAATGAAACAACATGTGACAAAATAATAGAAAGAATTAAATTAATAATTTAGTTTTAGGCGAAATAGTCCTAAAGAAAAAACACCTTATATTAATAGTGAAGAAATGAACGGTATTGAAATCAATAAGTATATTAATAAGAAATGCTACGACTGTTGCCACTTTAAAAAAGAAAATATGGAATTGTATAAATTAAATTTACCTAATGGAATAATAAATAATATTATTGATTATGCTTTGGGTGAAGAAGATTTATGAGAAAATTGTAAAACCTGGAGAGATAACCAAGCTATAATCAAATGTTTGTTGAGATTAAAAGGAAGACATAATAGAAATGTAGAAGATGACATTTTGATATTTTTAACTGTAAATAAATTACCACCTTACGTTTATGTTAAACAGTTTCTTAAAATCAGTAAGAAAAATATGAAATGATTTATGATATATTAAGGATGTTGTGTCATAGTCAAAAGAAAGGAGATGATATTAAAGAATATATCAAATTTTATATTGAAATTTATAAAAAGTTTAATGTTAAAAACACAGTGAGAGATATTAATATTATTTTTAAAATGATGTATGAAATAAATGAGATTTGTCAATTAAATTATTATCCTGAACGTAAATTATAAATTACACCATAAACCTTACAATAAAAAAACATTGTAAGATTTATGATTTGGATTTATGGGGATTTTGGGATTTGGGATTTTGGAAAAATATATTTTGGGAATTTGGGATTTTGGAAAAATATATTTTGGGAATTTAGAAAAATATTTACAAAATTTATGTATCAAATCTTGAGTTGAGGTTCTGTTATGAATTGATGAAAAAATATTATGTGAATTGGTCGGTTGAGGGGATTTTATCCAACTGGGGGGTCCTCTTGGGTAGGTTAATATCCCCTTCAGAACGTTGAAATCTCATACCATGAGCAAGGAGAGCATGCCTTGATATCCCTGCGCATTCTGCCGAGCGCGTGCATCGGGCGATCGCTGCCTGGGCGGCATGACTAGCAACAGCCGAATGCAGAGAATGACTCCAACGCAAATACTGGCGCCCGCCTTGGCGTGCGGGGGCTTGTTTGGGTGGGCGGCGCCTGAGGGGGAGGGCTGGGTGGCTTGGTCAACGCTGGGTGTATTTGGCGCTTGCAGGCTCGGGGCTTGCTGGTTGGACGTGTGGCCTGGCTTGATTGCTTTGTTGGGTGTTGCGAATGTGCGCTTGCTTAGTTTGGCAATGCCATGCAATGCCCACTTCGACTGACTGACTGCAACAAAGAGCTTGCGGGAGGTGCTTGTTCGGTCCACGGCTGCTGTCTACACCCTTGCTGCCAGCCATACATGGCCTTCAGTGCTCGTGGCCTGGTTGTTCGAGTGTGATTAAGCCATGTGAAGTGTTTGAGTGCGCTTTACAAGCATCTTTACCAGGAATTGCAAGCCTTAAATAAAACTAGTCGCGTCAGGAGCTTTGTAGGGAGCTTTGTGTAAGGAGAGCTTTTCAAGGAGTATAAGGAGCTTTGTCAGGAGCTTTAAAAGGAGCCTTATAAGGATTTTTATAAGCTTTTCAAGGAGCTGTCCAAGCATCTTCACAAGGAGTTGCACAAGGGGCCTTAGAAGGAGCCTAAAAAAAGCTTGATAAGGAACCGTGTAAGGAGCTTTATTATTTTTATTTTATTGTTAGGGAGCAGGTCTAAGAGCCTTTATGAGACTCTACAGACACGAAGAGCGGCCATGATTGCTTTGGAAAATCAAAGGGGGCAGTCCGCCCGATACAATCACACGGAGGTTGCGGGATGGCTCCAATTTTCACACACTGCCTGTATGTAGTCCAAATTGTGGGAATCCTTAGCCCTTCCAGATAGCAGAATAGTTACCTTCAAACAAGTAGAATTATTGACCGTAGAAATTGCAAACTGGAGCACCCAAAAGTATCTCATGGGGGGGGGGGGGGGGGGCCTGAGCCGAGATAGAACATATATATACATATATATATATATATGTGTATACAAAAATAAGTTTGCTGCCAAGCCGCGCGCTGCTCACCTGGCGGGTGAACGCAACAACTGAACTCTTCAGGGGGAACCCCCGTAAAGGACAAATCTGCAAAAGATAGCCAACCGCTATCTAAAGAGCCGGACATGTGGGGAAAAAGGGGCAACCAAATGATCACAACTTCGCAATTGCTAACAAGGGCTGCCTTGTAGTTTTCATGGCCCAAAGAAAACCAGACAAGTTTCACAGCGGTGCTCGCCTCGCCTGGCCCGGAGGGTGACGGGGGTGCCACCAGAACTTTTGCGCCAATCTCCCAGGCTCCCTCCATGCTCCATCGGCCTTCCAGGCGTTGTGTCCAACTCCTTTCGACACTTTGCAGATTGATTGGTGCAAAGGGAAAACCAAAGGCACGGTTGGCCCACTCGCTCCAGTCTGGGCTCTCTTTTGGAGCCGTTTGCCTAGTTTGTGTTTTCTCTCCCATGCAACCTTCACTGAGCTGTTGCACATGGGGCTGGCCCTAAATCGAGCAGCAATGCCGGCGGCAACAGCAAGAGATCGGTCAGCGTCTCTCGGTTACAGCCCAAGCTTCGTCGCCCGAAACCGCGCTCTAGCTTCGACGTCCCGAGGGCCGTTTGAAGTCGTGTGACTTCTACTGCCATCCATCTCCAGCAAGCCCTGCCAACTCACCAACCCCAGCAACCCCATCCAAATAGCGCACCTCGCGCGTCGTCCTTTTTCCTTTTTCCTCACCGCAGCTCGAAGTCCTCGGAGCGGAGCTTG